AATAAAATATCTCCTCTCCTACTTACAAAAACAAATTAATTACCAAATCATAATAATTGTCCAAGTTTACTACCTGGACAGTTGTTGTTGTATATGTATTCTTATCAAGCTTCTACCTGGATGGTGTGTACATTATTTTTTTCTGGTGATATCCTTAATACCCTGCTGATATTCTTATGAATGAACCCCACATTTAAATTCAGATTTATGTATTTTTAATACTTGTGGATGGCAGTAACATTTAGACATTTGAAATCTGCACTTTCAACAGAATTTCTCTGCTCTCAGTGAGCTACACGTACGATCTAATCTATGTGAAATGACCATGCTTTTGTTATTGCTGCCGATAACTTCACCTTCTAAGGTTTAATGAAGTTGTATGGTGAAGAGGAAGCCAAAATATCTTGAACACATTTTACACATCTCGCTTTTACTCTGGAAAAACGCCATAGAAAGCTGTTTTTCCTCTTCAGCTGCCGAAAGGTTGAGGGAGGCGCCCTCTCTCCCTCGGCTCTGGGCTGAGTCCTGCTCTGAGTGGAGCTGAGAGCGTGCTTAAGGGAGAGGAGAGGCTGCCTGCTCTACGCAACTGGAGTCCATTTAGTGCCACAGCAGGAGTCATAAATGCTGCATGATGGCTAAACAGTGGCCCATTTGATGACAAGAGCGGCTTGATGTGTGTATGAAGGGCTATGAGCTGAGAGAAGTGTTCGAGGGTGTGTGTAGCATGCAAGTGAAGCGTGATGAAAAGAAGATGTGCGTGCAAGTGTGTAAATGTTAAGCACAAGCTACTTGAATAGCCACTTGTCAAGAGTTGTGGGAAAAAAAAGAAATGTGTCAAAGCTCTTAGAGCTCCAGTATTAATACCTGAGTTTGGGCAAAGACGAATACTTTAAGAAAAGCAATTCAAAAGAAATTGTTTTTAAACACTACTCAGGGCATGTGGTCCATGGTCATTTACAAGATCTGTTCCCTTTCTTTAGAGTTAAACATGACTACAGGCTTGTATCACTGCAAAAGTGATGATTAAGAGCACAGATGACACAAACTTTAACCTCCCATTGTGGATCTACACAATATGATGGTACATTTTTGTTGTCATGATACACGTCGTAATACCCTGCTCCGAGTATATCGTGGATAACTTCAGTGCTTGTAGAAAAGCAGTTCTCAAACTGTGGCCTCTTTGAAGTCTACATTTTTTCCAGTATTACTTTGGGTACTTGCTTAAAACTGATAGATATTATTAAACAATATCAAATGAATAGTGTCAACTAATCATTATTAATGACCATGACATGCCCCTTAACAAGTTATCTGTAATGTCATTGAACGGGGCCATTGCGTGTACAGGTTAGCGATAGCTGTGGAGAAAATCAGCAAAAAAGTCAAGGTTCTGGTAAGGCCCAAGTAATTAAGGGTCGGGGGGGGCAGTGGCAAAGGGTGGTGGTGGGTTGTGTATGGGGGGGTTCAATCTGTTGTGGTTCACTGAGACCATTATGCCATTTTGTTAGATAAAGTTTATCTTATTTCATTAATTAATTTTAGAATTTGTTCAATTTTTCTCTCCTTTTTGTTCTTAATTTTTTTCTGTAGGTGTTGAAGTAAAAGAAATTAAGAAATGTATTATTATGGTAGTGCATCTTGTTCTTTCCAACTTGTTTTCAAATCTATGTACCATGATGCATATCACGTATGCATAAAAATGTCTTAAAGTAATGCACTATAGTATTACTGCCATGTCAGCCACTCTTAGCCTCGAATATTACTGCAGACAGAATTTCACCGCTTGCCTATTTCAGTTTTTATGCATTCATTCTGAATCTGTATGCAGACTTGAAGGGAGGGACTGCTGTGAAAATTTCAGTGAAACAAGTCGCTCAGGGACTCCTGTAATTATCACGTCTAATAATAAAATGTGTTATGACCTCTTAATGCGTTTTGAATATAACATTCTTACACACTTTTAACTAGAATTACATTAAACAGTGAGTTTTTTAAGTAGAGTGGAGTTTGGGGGGGAAAAAAAGACAAATGCTGGGAACCCATGCCAACTGCTTCAATCTATTAAAAGACAAATTGGATTGAGTTTAGTTCATATTCTTTAATTGGGCTGCACAAACAAATGAGGCGTCACTTTGAATTAAAACCACCGTAAACCATTTACACGAATACAGGAGTGCCTGAGCACAGGAAAGCAAGAGATAGAGAGTGTGCTGGAGAGAATTTAAGAGAGAAGTGAAGTGCTCTGATCTGTAGCCTCTGTTTGTGTGCCGATGTGTCTGCTGTTGTGTGGTGGGTTGAATAAACAGGTTGTGCAAAAACACGACTCTGTCTTTTCCAAATAAACATATACACCGTGCCTTTCACTGTAGCATTCTGCTATGTGACACCCCCCCCCGCTGTTTTTCCTCTACCACTGTAAACACACCGCAGCGAAGATGAATGCAGATGAATGATGGTGAGGCAGACGGAGACAAAAGCTCACCTGCTAACTTCTCATTCCAGTTTTCCACTTTCATCAGGAGCGTGACAGCGTTACGGAGCATGCTGGGCATACACAGGGCCAGTTGCGCTTGATAATCACCTGATATGTGACTGTATGAGTAGAGCAGAAGCCACGTTACCTCCATACTCCGCCTCTCAAACTTCTCTATTTTTACCTGCTTCTTTTTCTCTCTGGAATAAAGCCCACTGTGTGTGTCTGTGTGCACGTGCTTCAGTGTGTGCATGCGTGTGCATTGGCAGCGTGGTGTTAAGCTGGTGCCTTGGTGTTGGCAGTGGGCACAGTTGGCGTGGATACAGGCAGCAGGTGGGGCAGTGGCACAGAGCAGTACAGGTGTTAACCTGGGCACTGCCAGCATGTTGGCAGGAACACCATAAGAATGGCTCCTTCTGAAAGTGGAGATGAAAGTGGGGGAAAAAATGCACAAATGCAAAAAGGAAAGTGTGCACACGTGTGCCTCTAGCTTACACCAGTTAGAAGTTTTCGGTTAGTTCATATATCTTTAGTTAACAGTCCTTTGTTTCAGTTAATCGTTTTACAGAATCCAATTGCGCCACTATTCTTATGTTAAAAGCTTAATATTACCAGAAATTGAGTTGAGAGTTAAACCAGAACACACAGATAGGGTTGACTGTGAATGTAACATTCGAAATGAAACATTTTCTGTTCTATTTCTTTGATTTTGATTTACTCATTTTCTGTTGTGTGTCATTTGTTTTGATTTTACTAGTTTTATTTTGAGCCACAGTTACAAGGCCTGTCACAATTAATGCATAATCGCCTGATCACGGTTGTTTAAGCTAGTTGCAATTATTGTCACAATTGTTAGCTTTCACAATCATTTATTTGTTGAAGCAAACAGAATGTGAATTGGGTATGTTTTTCTCCATTAGCTTGAGGCAAATCAGTCTAAATAAAAGAAAGCCAAATATATATATATATATATATATATATATATATATATATATATATATATATATATATATATACACACCATTCAGAGGTTAGAAATATATATTTCTAACCTCTGAATGGTGCTGTGCCCAGAGGGCAGCAGAAAGTAATGTTTGTTTATTAAATGTTTATTTACATCTTTTTTTGAGCTTGACCTATGTCTGTTGTCTGTTTGGAGCAACTAAGTGTTGACAGCTAGGAAAGAAGATGGCTGAACAACTAATTTGACCAATTTAGACTTGTACTTTAATAATTGCGTACAATGAATAAAGAAGACAAATTATTTATATGGCAGTTAATCATAAGCTGAAATTTAATGCTCATGACAGTCCCTGCTTTGAGTGGAGGTATAAATATTATAGTAGCTACAAAGCTCATTGTCAAAACTAGTTTGCATGGTGCAACTTATTTTAACTTAGCGATGCACAAAGCTTAACTTAGTAAACACTTATATTGTAACATGCCTACTAGCCTACGTTATAACTAGCTTACTCTACTTTAAGCGCGTCCTGTCACTGCTTGTATGTCATGCTTTATTTTTTCCCAGCAGTAACTCTTTCCACACTAAACTAGACATTTCTTATGAAAATGTCACACTGAGTTACTTCTTGTAGGATACATCTCTATACAGAGGTGGCGTCTGTGTTTTAACCCCAACCAATCTGAAAGATCAGTTGGACACACCCTGACAGGCTCATGCAGGAGTCTAGATTGATGTAAAAGCTCTTTATAAACCAGCATCGACTTTGCTAGCAGGGGACAGTCAGTGGAGGGTGTTACATGCAGTTACTGCACTTAATGCTTCTGTATCAGTTTAAACCCCAGCAGGCAGACATAACTGTCCTATTAGTCCACCAGGGGAAACAATGCCTCACTGTTTTGCTCAGTGTTATACAATTGGCTTGTTTTGGCTGTGAACAGTTTGCCGCACGTTGTGTTTTTTTATTATTATTATTATTTTATCAATTTTATTTTGGGTGGGTTGGTTTCAAGAATGTGTGTGATTTTAGTAGCGTAATTTTCACTCTGAATATTGACAAGTTGATAGCATAGTCTAAATGTAAATTTGGATGCTTTGATAGTCTGGAGTTATTGCTTTATTATTTAAGTATAATCACATAATTATGTAATTAATGCCATAGTCATGTAATGCATTATTTGTTCATTACATATGTTCATTTTACATTCTGTTTCATCAGGTTCAAGTCAGCACTTCAGATTTTTCCATTTATCTTGATGTCAAGCAAATGATAAACTTGCCAAAAATGTACAAAATGATTTTTCTTTGTCAAAGCTTTAATTCAAATCATAAAATCTCCTCTTCTACTATTTAACCAATAGCATTTGTTTCACTTTAAACAGAATTTCTCAATCAGCTGTAAGTGAGAAATCATTATCAAATTACAACAGACCAACATGCTTTTGTGACAATATTACTGGCAATATTGGCAACTGCAAAAGTTTAATGTTTAGTAATGTTTAGTATATGTATGTGTGTGTGTATGTATATACATATGTATCTAAAATCTCTCTCTCTCTGTAGCTGGTAGCAGTGTATGAAGAGCAGGACCCTCATCATGGAGGTGATGGGACCAGTGCGAGTTCCACAGGCAGTCAGAGTCCAGACGTGTTCAGCAGAGGGGAGCTGAGCTCCAACAGCCCTTCAGCCTTTCAGCCGTACCATAACAGTAGTGAGATCGAGGTTACACCATCTGCACTGCGAACGAGTAAGAAACACACTCACTCACACACACACTTGCGCGCACACACACACACACACACATACACACATACACACACTGTAGTGTCTACTTAGTGGAAGTTTTAGCAGACATAAAAGCAGGTGCGTTAAACGGGTAGAAGTTCTGAGCTGTGTAGGCTAGTAGTACTGACCTCCCGAACAGGACTGAGCTGAGTGGGCAGATGAAGTCACAGGGGGAAGAGAGGTGAAGTGAGACAGAGAAGATCTCTATGAGCAGAAGCGACAGCTCAGCTGGTGTCCAGTTTTTTCTCTGGCAGGGCTGAACTGCAATGTTTGTGGACCAAACAATGTAAAATATGAAAGGTAAGTAGGGTTCAAATTTAGTTAAACATATTAAAATCTGTATGTAACATATTACACTATATTTTGTTGCTAAAATATTTAAAAAATGCAATAAATAGCATATAGTCAGGCCAGGATCATTCCATGAGTTTTATGGGCACATGCCAAGGGGCCCAAGTCAGTAGGGGCCCCCATGAACAGTTATGACAAAATTCAAACACTTGAAGTGGAAACTTTACTAGCGTTGCAGCAGAAAAATTAATTAATTGAATAAATAAATAAATAAAAATTATAAATAATAAATAATTTCAGCTGTACAGCCAATTCCATTCCTAAATGTCCGCTTCATTTTCTACTCCAATCACTGCTAAGCAACCGTACAACAGTCCACCGTTACCTTGGTCTAGCTTTCAAAGTTTTATTTTGAATCAAGCTAGCGTTCCTCTAAATGTGCTTGCAATTGAAGATCCAGATAAACAAAATATGGGCCTGAGGCATCTGTAAAAGCGAGACCTGAAACTTCAACAGAGTACAAGTTGATATACAAGTCAGGGGGAAAAAAAGGATGTTTTTAGGATTTTTGAGAAGGGTCTGGCTGCAGACATGCACCGCCAGCCTATTGATGACGTCAGTGCTGCTCTGCCACGACTGTGTTTTTGTCGGTTTTATGAGGAAAAACAGCGAACCATGTACTGCTGGGCAACAACAGTTACAGTGAACATATATTAACGTTGTCATACTGATAATAAAGTAATTCAATATGAAAACTTTCAAAATAAAACCTACCACAACGATAAGATATGAATGTTGGGTTTATTTGCAGAAAAACAAACAGGCTACTGCCGAAACTCATAAAAGCCATGCTGAAATTAGAATGAGAATTGGCTTGATGGTTACCATTAGAGACCTTTAGGAAACAATCAAGTCCATCTGGATTCAGTCCCAAAACACCTGATTAAATGATTTGAATCCTTTACACTGATATCAACCCCTTCAGGAAAACACAGAATACCATTAGCGACTACTGAAAACCACCAGGAACCAACAGACATTTTTAGTGGGTTCTATGATTTTTTTCAGCAGAGAGGTACATTAAATGGAATTCTCTAGCTGTGTTATGGACGAAAAAATGGATTAAGTGATATCGCTAAGCAGAAGCAGCCAAAAGTTAACGTGCCGTTGGGCCGTTTCTGCCATTGTGGCAGAGAGTGCATGTGTACATGACATCACTGGGGCTGAGAGTGCATCTGTCTGAGAGTGCATGTCTGCATCCAGACTCTATTGGGATTTTTTAGGATTTAGGTTTAGCATGCTTGACAGTTTCGGTTTTTAAGTTTGCTGATGTTGTTTTCCTCTTCTTTATGTACATCTCTCAGCTGTCCGATTTTAATTCATGTTGTCTTCATGTGAATGTGCTTGAAGAGTGGATACATGCTTTAAAAGGATTTTCGATTTATGTTAACGTGTATTCTTGTTAATCTTGTTATTCTTTTGTTTTTTCCACAATTAGTTTTTACTGTCTTTCTCTCCCCTGTTCCTTCTGACACATACATATAATATTAAATGTGGAGTTTCACATGTTGCCATGCCATTGCCCCCTCAATTTGGCCTGTTACTGCTCTTTCAAGTCCAGCAGAGGGAGATCTTGTTAGGTAATTTAGGCTCAGGCAGGTGATCCCTGTTTTCTTTGGGGTGACAACAGATAAGGACAGAAGAAATAACATGATTAGGTGTTCCTGCGTTGATTATTATAATCAGTAGTTACTTGCAAATGCCACAGTAAAATCATTTATTAGCATTGCTATGGAAAAGCTTACTATTGACTTTTGACATTTAATCAGAGTAACAATAAAAGATGACTGAATTTATATGTCTATGCCTATTTTTGCATGTTTGAAAAGGCCAGTTGAGATACAAATACAATAAATACAGTCAATGGTTTTGGAGTTATTAGATCATGCTTTACATATTAAATAAATGCCACAGCAGCGTTGAGGAAGTTTTTAATGGAGAAGAGGAGATTAAAAGCAGAAATGTGTAGGCAGTAAAGGTTTTGATGCATAGTGTTAGAACAGTTTTTGCTCAAATGAACACACACATACACATTATCTAAGCCACTTGTGGGTCGCAGGGGTGCTGGAGCCTGTCCCAGCACTCACTGGGCGCAAGGCATCAAATGAACAGTCCTTTTGTTTTAGCTGAGAATATAATCAGTTATGACAGTGTAACTATTGATTCTTTTCCCGCTGTTGGCTTTGTGATGGACAGTGGAGGACGTTTAAACAGAGCACTTCAACTGTGTGTGTGTGTGTGTGTGTGTGAGAGAGTGAGTGAGAGAGAGAGAGAGAGAGAGAGAGACTACTAGTAGTCATTACTACTTATCACCTTCGCTCCATTTCTCCCTTAGTCAACTGCAGCATCTCATGCTCTCACTTGCACACTCTCTTCCTCTTATACACCGATCAGGCATAACATTCTGACCACCTCCTTGTTTCTACGCTCGTTGTCCATTTGATCAGCTCCACTTACTATATAGGTGCACTTTGTAGTTCTACAATTACAGACTGTAGTCCATCTGTTTCTCTGCATACTTTGTTAGCCCCCTTTTACCCTGTTCTTCAGTGGTCAGGGCCCCCATGAACCCTCACAGAGCAGGTACCAGTGTTACTGCAGTGTTGAGAATGATCCACCACCCAAATAGTACCTGCTCTGTGAGGAGGAAACAAGGAGGTGGTTATAATGTTATGTCTGATCGGTGTATACATATACACACATATACTGACTTACTCTCTCACTCTCTCTCCCACTCTCTCTCTCTTACTCTCTTTCTCTCATTCTCTCTTACTCTTCACTCTCTCACTCACACTCTTTCTCTCTTTATATCACTCACATGCACACACACTCACTCACCCAGGCTTCCAAATGATGAGTGTGTTACTAATTTACTGGGGTTGCCCTGCATTGCCAGCTCAATTACAGCCAACTGCCTCCATCTTCCTCTTGCTCTCTCTCTCCTCCATCTCTACAGTGATATTGTGTGATTGTGTGTTTGTCCATGTGTGTGCTTGTGGGTCTGCATGTGCCTGCATGTATGTCTGTGTTCGTTTATGTTTGGCTGCCTGTACGTCTCTGTGTGTATGTATGTGCCTATGCGTGTCTGCATGAGTCTTTATTAGTGTTGGTGGTAATGCAGTACAAGTAAAGTGTTACAGTACCGCACTCACTTTTTCCTGTAACAGATGAGTTTAACACATTGCAGTTTAAATTCTTCATAAATAATTACTTTTCTTATGTTGCCTATATGTCTCCATGTTAACTATGTTATATTAACCACACACACAGCCTTTAAAACAGAAATTACATCTATATAGATGTTTGTGTCTGATTTTGAATGTGAGCAGAGCCGCACAAGCATGGGAAGCACCGTAAACTCAGCGAGCAGGCTAATCTAAGCATTTTGGAATGCATCATATTTATTCTGAGTGCCCTCTCGTAGATTTAGGAGACATAACATTTGAGTTAAAAAAAAAAAAATCACCTACTATGTTATATCGCCTACTTATTTTCTTTGTGTAATAAAATCAGGCATGTGCGCAGGTACTCGAGTACTGAAATACTGAAATTACTATTCAAGTATTCGTTACATTTCATCATGGGAAGACAGAGCAAATATACAGGCTAACACCAGTTTTTTTTTCCTGTTCGCTATTTTTTTCCTATTTCCTATTCCTATAAAGTATTTTATGTTATATTTTGCTACTTTTGAGACACGGCTGCCTGAAGGACATGGCTCGGAAGGCACAGATAGCAGTATAACATATAGGTACATCGTGCACCGAAGAAAAAATACCCTGCGTGTTGAAGATGACGAGTCCTCATCAGCATCCAGTGTGACACTAGTTAGCTCTGTTAGCTCATTAGCTTATCTGAAGAGGCAGCTTCTGTTACTCATCCAACACGAAAACCTATTGATATCCCTCAACATTGCTGTTGCCTAAAGAAAGTAAGCCTACAGCTCACTTTTTCCCCCCATTGTTTTTCCTTCCATTTTTCCTTCCGCTCGTGAACTCTTATGGGTTCTCAGTCAAAATTAGTCAGAATTAGTTGTGCATCTCTGCTTAAAATCTAATTCATTTAACATTACAATATACTATAGTTGACTGTTCAACAAACAAACAAGGGTTGAGTTCGAATATAATTTCTAAGCCTAGCTGACTGCCTGTGTGCTTGTGTGTGTGCGTGTGATTAAAACATTGAGGCTTGTTTATGATGGGTTTATTAAGCAGTAGTCAGTAATGGGGATAAGCCCATTACTATCAGCAGTATCTCAAATCAGTGCAGATACAGCATCCCCAACCCCCCTCACGCACATGGACGCGCACACACACACACACACACACACTCACACTCGCCCTGGTGCACAATCACAGCTATTCAGAATCATCAGCGCCCGAATACCTATTGATTGTTCTTCCTCCCTCTTCTCGCACGCCTGAATATTAAAAAACACATGCAGATGAGGTCAAGCGACTAATAATTGGACTGGAGATGAGATGTAAATTGCAGTAATGAATGTAATTTGCGTGTAATTATGTGAAATCGAGGCCCAGTTTGACTCGCCTCGCATGGAAGCATAATCTGGAAACGCGTAGAAAGATAAAAGTTTTAAGTCTTTTTAAGAGA